AGCCAACCATGGCGACGGTGACGGCGTGGCCGCGGATGTAGCGCGGGCCTTCGGACGCCGGGTACAACTACAAACTTCATGTTAATTGACTGCGAAAACGGAGGAGGGGTAGGGGGGGGAGAGTGAAAAGGGGAAGGGATAAACGTACGAACGAAGACATGATACCCGCGCAGTTACCGATGGTGAGTTGGAGACCAGTGGCTGTGGTGCGTTTGCCGTAACGTGGGCTGTTGGTAGGGAGCCAAGCAAGTGGTAACCCGACGTTGACGTAGAGTCCCATGGCCACGAAGAAGCAGCCCGCGTAGTGCACGCCGGAACCCCCGTTCGACATGAGCATCGCGTATCCGATGATACTCACGACGCCGAACGCGACGGAGTAGAGCCCGCGCTTCTGCTGGCTGTCGGAGATTCGCGCAACGATGATGTAGGTGATGGCGCCGAGCGCGTAGCAGGGGATGGTGTAGACCTGGATGAGGGAGGTGGACGCCTTGGGTTGAATCCCGCGGATGATGGTGGGGAGGAAAGTCGAGAACCCGTAGAGCATGGTGTCGACGCCGAACTGCGCAAAGGAAAAGGCCCAGACTTTCCAGTCCTTGAGACACTTCTTCACGTCGTCCCAGTGGAATTTTGCGGCCGAGGCCGTGTAGCCGGACTGACGTGTTAGACGGGCCGCGGCTTGGTGTTTTTCTTGGTCGTTGAGGAAGTAGGCGTGCTCTGGGTCGTCGGGGAGGATCCAGAAGACGGCGACACCGAGGACAACGGTGGGGAGACCTTCAATGATGAGGATCCAGCGCCATCCACTCTGGCCGTCTACACCGTCCATGTGGCCGATGCCGAACGCAAGGAGGCCACCGCAGGCTCCTGCCAGCGCAGCGGACACGAAGAGGTAACCGATGCGCAGGGCGAGTTCGCGCTTGGTGTAGAAGAAGGTGAGGTAGACGGCCATTCCAGGGAATAGACCGCCCTCTACGAGACCGAGGAGCAGTCGGCATGCGACGAGACCGCCGAAGTTTTGCACCACGCCCGTGAGGGTCGCAATGAGGCCCCAGGCGACGGTGATGAAGCAGATGTAGCGTGACGGGCGGAGCTTCTTGAGAACCAGGTTCGACGGCACCTCGGAGAGGATGTAGGTCACGAACAGGATGGATACGGCGATTTGCCATTGGGAGGCGTTGAGGCCGAGGTCCCTTTCCAGGTGGTACAATCGGGCATTTCCAATGTTTACTCTGGGCGCGTGAGGATTAGCAAACTGGTGTTAAGGTTGCTGACGGAGGCGTTTAACTCACCGGTCAAGGAAGCTTAGTAAATAAAGCAGCATGACCACGGGAACCAGGTGAAGATCGAGCTTGCGAACGAGCTTTCCCTCAGCTACGGGGTCCTCGTCTTGAAATTGGGCCTCTCCCTCGCCTATGGACTTTGGCTCATCGACCGTCCTCCCGTCGTCGGCCTTGATATCCGAGTCACTCATGATGGGTGTTGAGGAATTGATATAGCGACTACTTTGAAACTTCGTTAAGCAATTAGAAAGCAGAGCAAAAATGCGAGGCTGTGCTATGTAATTGCAATGCGTATGCGTATGCGAACAGAAGTCTATGTCGGTAATTAAATCCAGAGGAGGTACGTCGATATGCGATTATGATATGCGATTATGGTAAAGTCGGCCGGCCGTGTGGTTGTCAATTCGAATGTTTGCGAATGACGAAACGACGGATGGATGGGTGAATGGCGGGATCACTCAGGTTAGGTTCTGGCGTCTAACAAAGCTTCATCTTGTAAGCAAAGGAAGGAAGCGTCATTTTGCAATTCAGAGAGTCGGAGGAGATCGCCACGACAGAAGTCGGCGCTGCGGCAGGCTTTTTAAAGTTGCGATGGCATGAATGATGATTGATTGACAAGCGGGCCCATGCTGGGGATGAGGACGAATTGGCTAGACGAACTGCTGCGGGGCGAAATGGCCTAGCCCGATGGGGGCTTAAAGGGCCCGACGTCGCACCGCTAGCCGTGCGCGCGCGTGGCCAGATAGGCAGTCAGTCATGATAACGCCTGCGGCTGCCCAGCTTCTGGGGTACGCTGCCAATAATGGGGGTCGGCTGTCAGGAGTAATACGGAAAGATGGGGGTTGCCAACTTGCGACCACAACGATGCCTGGATGGGATTGTAATCCTTATCCCGTGTATGCACCTACACCTACTAGCCACTTCCCAAGCCCATGGTACCACGCCCAAGACTCATACACGGCAGTAGTGGTTGGATATCAGCACTGATACCTGGCAACCCCAAGGAACGTGCCCATTGGCGATTGATCTCTGATTCCAATCGTTTGGTATCATCAAGTTGGGACTGAGCGATACGATCCACTCCACCAAAAGGAGAGATTGTACTCCATCTGCCCCTATCTCCCCAAGCATTGAACTCGTCACCACTAAGCCAGTTATCGGGCGTTGCCCGAATATGAAGATGCCCGTGCGACGTCTCCCTGGCCCAACAAGTGGGATCTTCTCATGGATCTGTTTGCTTTTGTGACGGACCCTGAAAAACATGAAGCCCCATTGTCTGTTTGCACCACGCTTGCATCCAGAATCTAGATTTCGCCCGCGCTTCAAAGTACGGGGTAGCATCATGGCTGTGCATCGAAAGATTGGCCTCCGCTCGACGTAGAGGAAGACGTGTATCCCATCATGGATGCCGGCCAATCCATAGGTAGACTGAGTCCAGCATAGATGTCGATTTGTGTCGCCGGGTTAATGGGCCACAAGAGTTCGTCGCGTGGTATCTCAATCTCTGCAATCGTGCTCTGCTGCGTTACCGTGCTCGGTAGGCTGGACAATGTCATTTTCGACACGTATTTGACGTCTTTCGCAACCTTCGCTGCAAGCGGCCAAAACATGCCCAGATTGGTTAGAAACCCAATGCTGAGACGAACGCGGTCACGAGCTATGGTCAGCCCGTAGTCATCTAATAGGACGTTGCAGGCGGATATCTGAGCGAGGGCGATACGAGCCACAACCGTGACCAACACAACATTGTGCTTCTCAATCGCACACGGAATCGAAAGGAGTTTGGTCTGTATGTCAATTGCCTTGAGAGTTCGAGCGGTGTGCGCGTTCCGGTGTATTTCGGATGGATCCGTAGGCGGAATGCCGGATATGAAGGACCGAGTTGATAGTTCCTCCATGCTATAAGTCAACGAGCTATACGGACGATGGACGGTGGCACTCAAGATCGCGACCGTTTCGTGCGCCATGAACATGACCTCGTCCACTGTCCCATCTTGCCGCAGTGGATCGCGCTTACAAGATGGAAGCAACGATTGCCACGCCGCGACTTTGGCGTCGATGAGATTGACATATTCATCGTGGAGTCTGCCAAACTTGATGAACAGCCCCAGGCCTACGCTAGGTTAGTCGTCTGGATGGCATTGGAGAAATCAACTTACTGAAAGACACGGTCTTAGTAATGTCGAGCAGGTACACTAGCGAAGAGTATATGACTTCAACGTCTGCAAACTCACGCATATCATACTCGTTCCAGGTCGGCGGTGGAGGGATTTGCTGCAAAATCTCTTAGGAGACACATTCCATACAAGGAAAAAAGTACGCGCTTACCCCTGAAATGAAATCCTCGTCCTCGCATGGCAAGTCAACAAGGTTCGGTGTGTCTCGAAGTTTCAAAAATGGCGTATTGGAAACCACGGAAAGATTTTGGTCCAGAAACTCGACGAACAGATATGTCCTTCTCCATGACTCTTCTAGTACGGCATCTCCTTCCCCATAAACCCTTGCAAACGCTTTACTATTCATTTGCAGCTGAATCGCCATTGCGATAGCTTTATCGGAGTTCTTGTGTGCCTCTGACTGTTTATCGGAATAATATTGCGCAAAGGACATAATGATTAACGCTTGAACAGTCCAAGGATCTATGGGTAGTGCTGGTGAAGTCAAAGCATAAGACGCCATGTTATAGTACGGTTCAGAGGGTGTCCACGGAGCGTAGATGGACCCGACCCACTGTTGAACAAGCAGCAAGGTGTCCATGCCATGATTGGTCTTGGACCTCCTTTTCTGCAAATAATTGTTTGGCACCGTGAAGGGATAGGCCGGCCAGAAGTTTTCATGGTAGACTTCTAACAAACGGTCCGTGTTGCAGTGGAACGACATCTCTGTAGAAGGTGGAGAATTGGCCTGCTTGTGCAGTGATGGGTTTAAATTGAGATCTGACGAAAACTGCTTCAGCATACCATCTGGAAGATCATGGTTGGTGGTTTTCATCGGTTCCTGAAGAAAAGTATCTGGTAGCGGCTGCTGTGGCTGCTGTGGAGTTTGCTGGGCTTGTTCTGCAGCCTCTTGTTCTAACCTTAACTTGCGTCGGGCGAGTGCTGCTTTGTCGAGACCTCCTCGTCTTGATTTTTTGTAGGTGCATTCTTTCCTGTCTCTCGAGCATCTATTGCATTTTGGTTGAGCGCCATCGCATTTCACGTGCCGACTTCGACATTGGATGCACGCTAGGTGGGCGCGGTCAACGGGCTTCGAGGCGGCATCTTCCATGTTGTCATTTACGGGTCAATGGTTTGAATCGGACAATCGCTCAGATCCTATCTCATTGTAGGTGCTAATATGAAGATATAACTCTTCTTCAAGAAACTGTGGCTACCTAGTTTGAGGCTGAGGATCCGGTACGGGATCCGCTATCTGGGCAGAAAAGGTTAGTAAGCACTAAACTACCTTTGTATTGCCAATCGGGTGTTCTCACTTGGCAGCAGTTAAAGATTCCTTTCATTGGTGTTTTCTGCCCTAATAGTGCGCCTCAAAACATCATGACGCATCACCTATTTACTACGTTGTCGGCTGATAGTACAGCCCCACTAATCCAGCCCCTTGTTTAAGCCTGTAGAACGCACGTCAGACACTCAAGCGAGCGAGACTCTCCACCGAGTGAGGCTTCGTTGGCCTACCGATATATACAATGTAATTCAAAAATTTCAAATATCGTTGCAAAAACACGTCGGTTTGGCCGAGTGGTCTAAGGCGGTAGATTTAAGTAGTATCTCTAGTTAAATCTCTACTGGGGAAACCCGCGTGAGTTCGAACCTCACAGCCGACAACATCTTTTTTGCTGTTTTTTTCAAGTGAATGAAGATGACTCCATTTTTTTTCCGCTGCCGGACAAGAATCGAGCTTTACTAAAGCCTCATTCTTTTTGAGGTACTCTATTCGTATCATGAAATTTTTTGTTACTCTGGAATAGAGAATAATATGTCGTGCCCAACGACTCACACCTCCAAGCTCTCTCCACCCTCCTTCTTACCCTCCTTCCCCTTCGGCACAATCTTCAGAGAAAAGTCCACATGCTTGACGCCCTGGTGAATACTACTCGTACTCACGATATCAATATCCGCACACACATACGGTTCCACATTCTCCTCCGTCAACCCACCACTAACCTCCACCAAGAACGCCTTCCGATCCCCCGTACCTCTCCCCCACTTCTCCTTGAGCTGCGAAGCCGCCACCTTGACACCCTCGGGCGTGAAGTTATCCAGCATAACGATATCTGCCCCCGCAGCAATCGCCTCATCGGCCTCTTCAAAAGACTGGCATTCAACCTCGACCTTGATGGCGAAACCTCCCGCTGACTTGGCCGCTCGCACCGCATTCGTGATACTCCCCGCAGCCACAATGTGATTATCTTTCAGCATAGTCATAGCTGATAGGTCGACACGATGCGCGTCCACACCACCCACAAGCATACCGTACTTCTCCACCAGCCGGAACCCAGGCGTCGTCTTGCGCGTCCCGGCGAGGATGTTGGGATACCCGGCTTTCCTAAGGAGTTGCAAGAGGCGATGCGATTTTGTAGCTATGCCTGAGCAGCGTGCCAGTGTGTTGAGAGCGACACGTTCACCCAGGAGGAGGTTGCGGACGGGTCCCCGGACGGTGGCGCAGTGTGTGATGGGTTGGAAGGAGGTTCCTTCTTTCACATGCCATTCGACACTTTCCCTCCCACATCGAGAGATTAGATATAGGCGAGTGTGGATGTTGGAGGGGAGTTTTGAAGGTATACTCACGTGCAATCTAGTTGACGGAACACTTCATCGAAGAAAGGTACCCCCGCCACTATACCCTAAGCCAAAATATTACATTCCAGTATCTTGGACGAGGAGTTAATCCACTTACCTCACTTTTCCCCAAAAGCCTCGCCTCAGAGATTTCCTCGCCAACCACGAACCCGCCGTAGTCGAAGCTGGGTGTATCTTCCTCGAGCCATTCCGAGACTAGCCGTTTGTAGGTCTGCGGTAGCAGGTGCGCCACGGCGCCGTGTGCGGGTGCTCCTTCTGTCACTGACATTCTTTTCTGTCACTTGGAGTATGTAGATTTAGGGGAAATTGAGAGGATGAGTGATTGTTCAAGGAGAGAGTTTGGCTTTTGGTGGTGAACGTTTCGGTCGCGTGGACTGCTCAATTCGGTTGATGCTGGCGCCGAATGCGGTTAAAACCGGTACTCAGCGGCCGCGGACGGAGGAGGACCAACCTTGGGTAGCACTTTTCTGGCTGTGTTCTTTTTTATATTTGAGTTTCTAGAAATCATTTGTGTTGATTTGATTGATGGCTTAGTCCGGAGCTGTTTGATATGCTCTCATATTTCATATTCTTCCAGCCCGCGATTATGTGTCGCAGCCCGTTAGGTGACTTTACCCCTCATTAGGTTGGGAATGTTCAACCCAGCACTTTTTACGAATCTATACCCAGGAGGATGGTTTTTTATATGACTGATGGATATAGTGAAAATATCGATATGTGTGGTCCAATTTAGGTTGTTTGCACCAGCCATGAGCACTTCACAATTGATTTGCGCCGCAGAACACTCGAGATTTGATGGCCAAAGCAAACAACAACTTCAACCGCAGATATCAGATACCGCTCTCTTTTTTAATCACAAACTCTACTTCTCCATGTCTTTTATCCTCTCATATCCAATGGTCTTGGATGCAGTCTTTTCTCCTTCGCGGCCACGAAGATGGAACTACGCATCAGCCTTCATTCTGGCGACTTTAAGGCCCGACTTCAAAGGCTATCCCCTATTCCAATGCAAAACACACACAAATCTATGCGTGAGCAACTGTTAAAGCTCGGCGAAATGCTAGTGTGACAACCATGTCTCCGTGGAATCGTTACTTTCGATACAGCAGAGCGTCTCACCCCTCCTGCTTCGACTTATTATACAAATCCGCATTCCAGCTCTGGATAAACCGCTGCGTTAACGCCATCATCTCCAGCGTAGCCGGCGAATCCTCATCAGCGACCAGATTTAATTCATAGCTCTTATGCGCCCACAGCGTGGCCGTGTCCCATTTCTCAATTCTCGCATGGCTCAGCGCGACGACACGGTACGCTTGGGCATAGTAATCTGCGAGACCTTCCTCTTCTACTAGTTTGGCTAGATCGACGCTGGCCGCCGCGTTCTTCTCCGCTTTTTTTCTTCCGTTGATGCTTTGCGGGACTGAGAGGGTGAGTTGCGGCTCGAAGTCCGCAAAGGCTTTGCGGATCGAGGAGCGTCGCTTGTCACTGTCGGCTTGGGCAGCGCGGTCCTGCGTACATGCCGAGCAGGTACATTTGAAGCCGTATTGATCGAGGCGCTGCTGGCGGGATTTTTGGTCGCGCAACAAAGGGATATAAGTTGCGAAGATTTCCTCGCCTTCAGCGATGGGGCGCACAGCGCGAACGACACGTTTGCCGATCTTGTCTATCCAGACTTGGCTTGAATTTGGGCGGCAGGAGTGGTTGATTCTGGCGCCTTTGGGGAAGAGACCGAGTTCTGAAAGTGTTTTTCCGACTATGTAGGCGTTACTCCGGAAGATGGGGACTAGCATGTGGCTGTCTTTGTCCTGGTTTTCTTCGTCGGGTGTGAGATGGGCGTGTAGAGACATGACTTCGGCTTGTTTTTCCTCAGATAGTGTATCGAAAGCACTGTAAAGTAGCGATTCGATGCTGTTCAATGGGTATGCTGCTCCGTCGCGGAAATCCGGTGGCTCGATCTTGATAATGGCTGGTTCCGCGAGAATAATATCACCAGGTTCCAGCGCGCGTGTAGCGAAAACACCTATACCCTTTCCTGGACTCGGTCGAGCTTCCCATACTTGAGGTGAGCCCGTACATGAGTAGTTGAGAGAGAGCCATGATGGAACTTCATAAATTTGTGTTGAAGATGGAATTGGCAGTAAGCATCTGGGTGAAGACGCTAAGACGGACCACGAAAGAGAGAGTAACGTGAGCGGAAGAATAGTAGTCGACATGGCTAGTTTGTTGAGTGAAAACAGTGGAGAGAAAATTGGAGTCACGCCGTGAGCTCCATGCTGACTTTATAACCCGCATTTGCACGATTGGTGTTTGGCTGAACTTGAAACAGTCTCGGGGTGGAGGATGTGACAGCTGTAACAGCCAGCGGCAACCCCTGATTGCTTGGAACCGAGACGCTGCTGAAGAGGATGGATCGAAACATCGAACGCATGCACCCCGCTAGACATTGAAAACCTGTGATTATTGTAGCATTTTTTGCAATAACGTTAGAAGTAATACAGTTGTGGCGACCACAGCAACGAGCGAAGAGTCGTCTTGGCGTTTCAATGTTCCATCAAAGTGGTAAAACGAACTGGATCACGTGATTCCGGTAGTATCGATCAACCTTCAACTTTCCTCATCCTCCCACAAAGCAAATGATATTGATATAAATACAAGCGACAAAGTCGAAGTAAATGCTAAAAACACAGGAGGGTTAATTAGGGCCCAAGCAGCCCGTTCATCTCGCTTTCCAATCCTCGAAAATCAGTCGAAATATTCAAAAGATAAGTTAGCAGGCAGAACCGCATCTCATTATACAGATCGCAATTCAATCCTTGCTCTTACTCTCATGACGTCTCACTAACGACGTCTTCCCTCTCCCTACAGACCACGCATCCCCTCCCTATCGCACTCTTGATCACCAGCGCATGGGTAATCTTAGTGTTCACGCTCCTCGTCCAGCGGCCGGCAATCCCTTCACTTAAAGCATCGCTGCTCAACTGTTGCTGCAAAGTCGCAGCCACGCTCGCACTAGCGCTCGTCTTGGGCAGGAGGCATGAGAGGTGGAAGACATGGCCGCAAGCGAAACCCACAAGCGTGTCGCGAGATAATGGGAGCGCACCCTGGGTGATGCTTTCTTCCTCGGCAGTAGGGAGTGAAAAAGGACGGTGGCAGCCGGTGCAGTGACCGGGTGGAGCTTCGCCATTGGGAGCTTCGGGCGGCGGTGGGTCCAGATGCGGACCAGGAGCAGTAGAAGTGTTAGCTGTTGTTGATGTATCGTTTGTCGTTAAGTTGGTGGCACTCGGTGGGTCAATACGCTTGGGCCGTATGTCTAATTCTTTTGTATGGATATTGTTGCGCTTTTCAGTGTTTGAAGGGTTTTCAGCAAGAGCCGATATCTCATCGTTGTCGTCATCACAGGGTATGACCTCAAATTTCACGCCCCGTTTTCGACCGGCACGTAGTGTATCCATGCCTGTGGCAACTTCTCCGCGAAGCACTCTTGCTACACCTTCAGATATTGAGTGTTGAATTTCGTACTCGCGGACCATGCGGCCAATGCCGTCTCTCAAACCTTCGATCTCTAGGCCTTCAGGAATGCGCCGAACGAGTTGTATGGGGTCAATCGCCGTGCCCACTTCTTCTAGGAGGCCGCGAATGAAGTGTGGTTTATCCATGGAGTATTCAAGAAGATCGTCCCATAGCTCGGGATCATCTTGTTCTTTGGCGAACGAGATGGCGAAAGAAACATCGGAGAGTCTTTCGATGATGAGATAAAGGGCGCGTTTTGTCTGACCTGTCTTGGAAAGAATATGTCTGATATCACGTCAACACTTATCAACAATGAAAGGCTACAACATTGGACTTACACTAGCTCTGGAATGTACTCTCTCCTCTCGCAGATGGCGGTCGCCTTACCCAGATCGTAGCTCTGCGATTCGCGCAAGTACTTCAATAAAAGTTCTCGATCGTATTCCGCAAAAAGCTCGACCATCAAATCGGCAAATTCTTCGGCGATATGCTTGCCATTGACCGCAAGATGACC